GGCTCCCGCGGTTCCTTCTCGTGCCCTGGCTCAGCCCAGCGCCCCTCTGCAGCCGCAGCCGGCGCTCCGAGACTGTGCTAGCGCCTTCCCTTTCGCCACTGCAGCTGGAGCAGCACCATGGGGATCCAGGGCCTGCTGCAGTTCATCAAGGAGGCTGCTGAGCCTGCCCACGTGAAGAAATACAAAGGGCTGACGGTGGCGGTGGACACCTACTGCTGGCTGCACAAAGGCGCTTATGCCTGCGCCGAGAAGCTGGCGCGGGGAGAGCCGACCGATCAGTAAGTCTTTGTCCCGCTTTGGTCTCAGCCCCCTTGCAACTTAAAAGTTTTGTCAGCGTGATGTTTCTTGAACTAAGTAGTAAGATATAATAGTTCGCTTCTTACTGTTGCTTCTGAACTCTCAGTGCCAGTTGTACTGTTGGGAAATGGAAGGTTTTGGCCGCAAGGAAATTGCATCCTAACTGTGCAAAATAAATATTAAAGTACACATTGGAGAAAAAACCGACTCTCTAACATTTTTTTGTTAAAACACCCATGGCTATGTGAGTTAGTTTTTTTCTAGCATGTCTTGCTGTCAATTATAATCTGATTTCTCTGATGAGATTCTGTAGATGCAGTTCATATGCTTAAAATTCAGGATTATTTTCAGGCACCTTTTTTGTATGCAGTAACAGTTTGTAAATAATGCTGTGACAAAGGTTGTAATGATACTGAGGAATTACAAGAGATGTGCTCTGCATAGGGTTTTTTTGCTTAGCTTACTATATTTTTTGTAAGAGGAGCTTTTCTAGCATTCTGCATAGGGTTTTTTTGCTTAGCTTGCTACATTTTTTGTAAGAGGAGCTTTTCTAGCTTAACATGGATTTTTTTATTTACACAGTTATATTTCTAAGGAAGGAAATGAACCAAAATTGTTTGTCATGTTTCAAGTTCAAGTCAGGAACTTAGATCAGGTTTGTGCAAGTTCTTGCCCATCTCTGGAAAACTGGGTTGAACTCTTGTTGTAGGTTGCATGTAGTCTTAAATCACAGAATGGATATGGTTGGAAGGGACCACTGGATGTCAGCTGGTCCAGCCTCCCTGCTCAATTAGGGTTTTCAAGAACACATTAGTGAGGATTGTGTCCAGATGGCTTTTGAATATTTCCAGAGAAGAAAGAGACTCTAAAATCTCTCTGGGCACCCTATTCCAGTGCTCAGTTACCTGCACAGTAAAGAAGTCCTTATACTCAAGTTGAATTCCGGTGTTCTATTTTCTGCCCATTGTCTCTAGTCCAATTGCTTTGTACCACTGAGAAGGGCCTGGCTCCATCCTCTTGACACCTTCCCTTCAGATACTTAGAGACATTGATGAGGTTCCCTCTCAGTTTGTCTTCTCAAGGCTAAACAAACCCAACTCCCTCATCTTTTCCTCATAAGAGAGATGCTTCAGTCCCTTAATCACCGTCTTAGCCCTCTGCTGGACCCACTCCAGAAGCTCCATTTTTCTCTTGTCGTGAGAGGCCCAGGACTGGATACAGCACTCCAGTTGTGGACTCACCAGGGCTGAGCAGAGGGGCAGGATCACCTCCTTCGACCTGCTGGCAATGCTCTTCCTAATGCCCGTCAGGATTCCACTGGCCTTCTTGGCCACAAGGGCACACTGCTGGCTCATGGACAGCCTGTTGTCCACCAGGACCCGCAGATCCTTCTCCACAGAGCTACTTTCCAGCAGGTCAGCCCCCAGCCTATACTGGTGCAGGGGGTTATTGCCCAGGTGCAAGTTCTTGTCTTTGACATGCTTAGAAAGAACCTTTAGGATGAGCTGTTCCATCAACTTTCCAGGGATTGAGGTGTGGCTGACTGGTTGGTAGTTCCCTGTGTCCTCCTTCTTGCCCTTTTTGAAGATCAGGGTGACATTTGCTTTCTTCCAGTCCTCGGGCACCTCTCCTGATTGCCGTTGACTTTCAAAGGTGATCAGGAGCAGCCTGGCTGTGATGTCCACCAGCTCCCTCAGCACTTGTGGATACATCCAGTCAGGGCTTATGAACTTGTGGATGTTGTTTGACGAAATGGTCTCTAACCCAATGCTCCTCAGCCAAGGGGAAGGATTCCTTTCTCTGGACCTTCACTTTGGTTGTCTGGGTCATGGGATTTTTTCCAAGGAAGTCCTTGAAGAAGCAGAAGTTAGCTCTCCTGAAGTCCGGGTTTGCCATGTTACTCATTGCCATGCTTCCTGCAGGATACTGAACTCCACGATCTTGTGGCTGCCCCCAGTTTTCACATCTCCAACAAGGCCCTCTTTGTTTGCTGGTACCTGGTCCAGCAGCACAGCTTTCCTCATTGGCTCCTCCATCACTTGTATCAGAAAGTTATCACCAATGCATTCCAGGAACCTTTTGAATTATATATGCTTTGCTGTGTTGTTCCTCCATCAGA